GGGAAGGGGGAATCTTAACTGAGAAAATGCCGCCATCCAGATTGCCTGCAGGACATTTACTTTTTAATGACTGATATGGGATAGCCCAGCCCACTGTGAGTGGTGCCATCCCCGGGCAGGTAGCCTGAGTTAGTAAGCCAGAGGGAGCAAGTCAGTAAGCAGCACCCTTCCATGGCCTCTGCTGCAGTTCTAGCCTCCAGATTCCTACCCTGCCTTGAATTCCCTCAGTGATGCACTATCACCCCAAAGCGTAAGATGAAAAAAAACTCTTTCCTCCCCAAGGTGTCTTTTGTCATACTGTTTCATCACAGCAATAGAAACCCCAACTAGGACAGAAATTGGTACCAGGAGTGGGGTATTGCTATGACAGATCTTCCACGTTGTTAGATTGGATTGTTAAGGATTTGGGAACTTTGGCTGAAAAAGCTATGGAATGTTCAAATCTTCATGAGCTATTTTGTGGGAGCTTAGAAAATAGAGTGTTGAGATAAATGTGAAGTTTCAGGGAAACAAAGACTCTACCAGGTCTGTTTGTGTAATGTTTTATATTAATAATTTGTGTCTGGTCAGCTGGAGCTGGCAACTCATCTGTGATTAACAAGAGACAAGGACAGCTGAAGTGAAACCTCTGCTTTACTGTGCAATTGATGCTGGTTAGCTAGAGCTGAAAATTGTGGTGATTAAGATGAGACCAGCATCACTGAGGTAAAGTCTTCTCAGGGTCAGCACACAGAAGCTGTAATGCAGGGTGGCCGAGGCTGCATCTCATACCTGCAGCCAAGCTTGGTAATGTATAAGACTCAGTCACATGGCAGTGGTTTGAAAGCATGAGGAATTCATGAAGAGCAGCTGACACTTAGCACTGTGTGGCAAGGCTGAGTTCTTGAAGAAAGGCCACTGCTGAGGGTACAGCCTCACTGGCAGTGGATAGCCCAGCATATAAGAGACATGAACCAGCCAGGTGGTGGTAGCACATGCCTTTAGTCCCAGCACTTGAGAGGCAGAGGTAGGTGGGTTTCTGTGAGTTTGAGGACAGCCTGGTCTACAGAGTGAGTTCCAGGATAGCTAGGGCTACAGCATGAAGCTCTGTCTCCAAAAATCAAGAGAAGAAAAGAGAGGAAGAAACTAGGTCCTGTGTTCAAGGAGATAAAAGAGATTACAGAAAAGCTTAATGCTAAAGGGAGTGATGACCTCTGGGGGGTAGAAGCAGATGGATTTCAGAGTGCAAGGACAGCCTGGTCTACAGAGAAAGCTCCAGGACAGCCAAGACTAGGCAAGTGAAGGAAACCAATGGTGAAAATGCATTTGAACAAGCGGCCCAAGTTTCAGCCCGAGCAAGCAGCAGAGCTTGGTAGCTTTGTCCATGTGGTTCTGGCTTTAGAGTCAAGGATAGAAGAAAGGAGAAATGGCATCTCCCTCCCCAGCTAAGAAAAGCTGCTGATGTCAAGCATGTGGCAGGGATGTCCTTGGCCTAGAGAAGCCATTGTGTGAAGCTGTGAAGATGAAGCCTGGATTGCCTTGGTGACCCCAAAATGTTGGAGATTCCAGAGCTATGGGTTGCCTGATGAGGAAAGCTCCTAAGAGTGAGTAGAAACAGTCCAAGAGAGAGAAGTGTGTTGTGACCAACAAAGGTGAAAGGAGTTGAGGATCTGAAGAACGCTTTGACATCGACATGGAGACACAGTTTGGAGTTTGCCCAGCTGGTTTTTGGTCTTGCTTTGAGCCAATATCCTCACTGTGCTCCCTTCCTTCCCTTTTAGAGCGGAAATGTATATCCTGTGCCATTTTACATTGGAAGTATGTGATCTTTTTGGTTTTGATTTTAGAGTTAAAGAGATTGCCATGGATCTCAGAAAAGACTTTGAAATTTTAGACCTATAAACTGTTGAGACTGTTATAGATCATGGGGACTTTTGAACTTGGTCTGAATGCATTTCTGCATTATATGGCTGTAAGCCTATGAGGCCAGGAAGTGAGAATGTGGTGGTCTGAATAAGAATGGCCCTCATATATTTGAATGCTCGGTAACTAAGGAGTGGCACCATTGGGAGGTGTGTCCTTGTTGGGGTTGGTGTGGCTTTGTTGGAGGAAGGGTGTTACTGGGGTGGGCTTTGGGGTTTCAAATGCTCACACCAGGCCAGGTGTCTCTCTTCCTGCTGCCTGTGATATAGATATATAGAACTCTCAGCTACCTTGCTAGCACCGTGTCTGCCTGTGTAGTGCCATGCTCCCCATCATGATGATAATGGACTAAGCCTCTGAATGTTAGCAAGGCCCAACTAAATGCTTTCCTTTATAGGAGTTGCCATGGTTATGTCTCTTCACAGCAATAGAACACTGACTAAGACAGACTGTGACCCATGATATTTAAGCTAAACAAGCCTTTTGCTCCCAAAGTTGTTTTGATCAGTGTTTTTTAACAGCAATAGAAACCCTAAGAGAACATTTAACCTTTCAAAGTCTTACAGTCAGTGAAGTTTTAACCTTGCAGAAAGTTCAGTGTAAGGTAATTATCTTTGAGAAACTTTGTTCACAGAAGTTCATGGTCCTGTGCGATGAGAAGTATACATATACTGAAGCTGGTATGTCTAATGGGACAATAAAGATGTTCATGTCTTCTATTTGTTCTTCCTTTTCTAATTGCTCTGTCCACTATTGACAGTAGGATATTAAACTGTCTAAACATTGTTCTTAAATTTTCTACCTCTATCTTCACTTGTCAGTACTTGCTATATATATATAGCTTGTGCAGGCTTGCCTGTCCTGGGACTCCATTTGTAGACCAGACTGGCCTCAAACTAAAAGTGATCCACCTGCCTTTGCCTCCCAGAGTGCTGGGCTTAAAGGCATGCACCACCACCACACCTGGCCTTACTGATATTTTGACTGAATAAAAATAATTGTGGTATTGTCATAAATAGTAAATAAACTATGTTGAGGTGGAAGTTTCTGGTTTCTTTGAAGACTGAGTTTTGTCATGTGATTTGCTACAAGCAGTGCACATGATGTTTTGCCCAGGTTGGCTTAGGAGAGGGCACGTGATATTTTGCTGTGAGCTCTCATGTGCGAGGGGCATGACTTTGGCTGGCTGAGAACATCTGCGGGTGGACTAAGGAGAGGACATATATAGAGGACCAAAAGCAATGAGAGACATCGATGCGCTGATCTTTGTGCTTTGACACTCGGCTTCACAGGCAGAAACATTCCAGAGAGCTTCTCCAGGCCATCCAATTGAGTCCAGAGGCATTCGCTGACTTCCTGTTGCTGCTTCATGTTGGCCTCTGTGTTGTAGCCTGCTATTTGAGACAAAAAGATACAGCCATCTTTGTTTTCATCTTCCATTTTGTTTCTAAGGTAAAATAAAGTTAAAAGTGAAAAGTTTAAACTTTTCAATTCTGCCTCCTGGAAGTGGTTGTTACAGTTGACCTTATAATTTAAAAGTCATTAACTCATACTTGGTAACCTATACACTTGGTTACACTCTAGTTGCATTCTTATTCTCTACACACCCGGTTGCACTCAGTTACCCTTGGGCTGCACTCTGGAAGATCCTCACTTACCTCACCTAGAACCGATCAACTTAAAGGTTAGCTGATAATTCTTTGTCTAGTTAGCCAAAAACGTAATATTGCTTTGTACTGCCCTCATCATGTCTTTTTCTTTTGGTTACTTTTCTATAAAAACTCTGCTGTGAGACCTTGTGTAGATGTCACAGTTAGGCTTCCAAGTTTTTACTGTGTCCCTGATCGATCAGCTTGAAGAGGCATTCAAGGAAACCATCCACATCTGAGTCTGAGTGGTTTGTGCCGCCCTCTTCATAGCACAACATTTGGAATGGAGTGCTATAGCATCCTGACGGCTGAGTCTGCTAATCCCCTACAGGCGCGTAACCCTAATCGGCAGAAAGGAGAAAGTAGAAGAGGACCACAGCCCCTTTCCCTAATAGTCTCTACCCAAGGTTGCGGGGGAAGGGGGCGCTGGAAGGGAGGTAAAGATGTTTAAGAGCCCTAAGTAAAGTGCGTTTGGTGAAAAATCAAAGCCTACACTATGTCATCAACTAATTACTGGCAAAGTCACGAAGGCTATATAACAAGGAAGTATTTTAACGCTTTTGGTATTTGGCAAACATGCAGAAGAATGAAACTTGACTCTTACTTTTTACATTCAGCAATATCAAGTCGAAATGTATTTAACCACTGAAATGTAATATCTGAAGCTATACAACTTCTAGAAGAAAAAGCTGAGAAAAACTTCCCCAACATTGATGCTATTTTTTTTTAACATATAACAACAAATCCACAGAGAATTTTAAAAAATTGTACGTGATTACATCAAACTTAAAAAAATGTAAAAAGAAACACAAATTTGATGAAAATTTAACTTACAAAGATATTAAGTAATTCATACAACTTAACAGAAGCAAAACCAGTAACAGGACCCTTATATTTAAGGCTGGAAGACACACTTTAAAGTCCACCTTGGTCCTGGCTTCCCGGGGAAAAAAAAAAAAAAAAAAAAAAAACGGCCAGAGAAGAGACTTGGGTCTTTTGACTTACAGAGGAAAGGTACTCAGGGAGAATGAGTGTGCGCAAAGCAGGACAAGGCTGCTGTGTGGATTCCCTTTAAAGACTGGCTTCCGTTTCGTTGCATGAGCCCTGGAACATTCTGCATCACGAGTGGAAAGACCTGGCCCTCTCTACTCCATCTTCCGTCGGTACACGCGACCTTCTTCGGTGTAGCGGTTCGTGCCAGAGAAGGGTCGCTTTTCCAAAGATGGGGACGTCCCTCATTGATTGATAAAGTCAGGGTCGCTTAATTGCAGGCATGCCCAGAAACAGAAACAAAGCTCGACCTGTCACAAAACTGGGGCAGTAGTACTCGGCGGAGGTGGGTACGACGGACACACTGGAAAACCAGACAGCAAGCGGACCTCCGCCTTCCCGGAAACAGCAGCAGCTGGAAACCGCAAGGGCTCTGCGCGCTGCCAGCTGCGCCGGGCAGAGGCGAAGGCGCTGAACCCGGAACCCCGAGTGGGCGGGGCAGACGCGAGGACTCGTGCGGGCCCCGGAAGCGGGATGCTGAGTGGACCCCCCCGGGACTCCGTGGGCCTTTGGGCGCCAGGGTGGGCAGGGGCTCCCCGGAGGACTAACCGGAGGGACCGTCCGCGAGGAAAATCGTCCGGCAGCGACTGCAGGCGCTCGCCACCCTTACGCAGTTCCGGTGCGCGGGCGCTGGCGAGGCACGCTGGGAGGTTGCTCGCCGGTCAGTGGTACCCAGTTTCAGGCCGTCCGGCCCAGCGGCGGGCCACCATGCGGCTGGGCTCCGGGGCCTTCGCTGCCTGCTGCGTAGCCATTGAGGTGATCGGGGTCGCCATATTTATTCGGGGATTCTTCCCGGCTCCTGTTCGTTCCTCTGCCAGCTCAGAGCACGGTGCAGAGACCCCAGCGCCCGAACCCGTAGCAGGTATTAGACCCCCTCTCCCGGTGGTCCCCGCTTTCATTCTGTCCCGCCTCGGAAACAAATTGTATTCTTTTAGCGGTGTTTCTGTACCTTATCACTTTGAGGCGTTCGCAGCCTCCGGCCCTTTGTCGACCTTCCCCTGTGATAATCAGAGTAAATCGAGTAACTCAGGCTTCGCCTCTCATTTGCTGCTCCACAGTGATCGCTACTCCTTCTCCTAATAATTCTTTCAGTAACTCCCAATTTAGGTTCCCAGTTTTGACCCATAGGACATAACAGGTAATATTTCTTCGGACCATTTTTCTACAACTTTCCTCCAGTACACCTCCCCAGCTCTCGGTGGTTAAGGCCACTTTACATTAGTACCTTAACTATCCTCACTTACACAGAAATAAACACCTCGTAAAGACTCTGCTGCTGCTGTGAAACAGGTTCACATAATCACAACCGCTGGACATGTAAACAGTTTGTAAACCAGTTCACTACGTGCAAGCCTACGCTTTAGGCCACGCTTGGGGCTCAGGTCCCAGCTGTAGGTCTCTTACGAAGAGCTTCTCTGTCCTGGACTCTTAACCATGCTGCACGTTACTGGGATACCTACTCGTTAATATCACAGCCCCCTGGCCAGGAGATGCCCCCTTCTTGGTAGTCTGAGCTACCTACAAGCCTTGAAGGAACCTTCATAGGTGTCTTGTCTGGCCTCTTATTAAAGCAACCCAACACTGGCTATCAAAAATGGGCCTTCTTTCAAGTTGAAATAGATACGATACATGCTAGACGAATAAGCTAAAAGATACTGAAGGCTAAATAAAGTTTTAATTTAATTTCCCTTTTTCTAAACACTCTTAGGAGCCAGTTCCAACTGGACCAAACTGCCATCACCTCTCTTCAGTAAAGTTGTCATTGTGCTGATAGATGCCTTAAGAGACGATTTTGTGTTTGGGTCGAAAGGTGTAAAGTATATGCCCTACACGACTTACCTGGTAGAAAAAGGAGCATCGCATAGTTTTGTGGCTGAGGCAAAGCCACCCACAGTTACTATGCCTCGGATCAAGGTAAATTTAACCTGGTATTTAATCACTGGTGATTGGGCACTTTTGAAAGTTTAGAGAGATTACCTAACCTGCTTGGAGACCCTATTTCAATAGCATGGAAAACAGTGTTGTCAGTGTGGCTGGGCAGTGGGGTGCTGAAGGAACCCTGTAAGATGGAACCATCTTTGCACTCCTTGTGAAGTAGCCGGAGTTCACACTTCATGGGAAGGGAGAAGGATCAGCAGCCAGATTGTCCAAGAGATGGCCTTCCCTTTGGTAGCCTACTGCGTCTCTTAGTTATCAGGCTTGAGGGAGCCTTTAGGGATATTCACTCTAGTTCATACATTGTATATATAAGAAAACAAACTCAGACAAGTTAAATTACTTGTCAAAATTGTGTTATACAAAGTGGTCAACCAAGTATGAACTGGCTTCAACAATTGTTTGTTCTACTCATAATAAGGTGTTCAGTGTGGTGAAGGCAATTCTGAAGTTCATATTGCTTTACCTGACAATCAGGTTAAAAAAGACAAAGAGGAAAGGGAAGAAAAAGAGGAAGAAGAAAGCAGCACCATATCTGTAGACTGGCTTGAAGACTAGTACTGAGGAACTGCTAGGTGTTGATACTGTATAATTTCAGGCGAACAGTACTGCTTTCATGGGCTTTGAGACTCTGGATGTGCAAAACCATTGACAAATAAGCACTCAAATAAACATGGTGTTACCTTGTGATGAGTGCCTGATGGGAAAGAGCAGCAAGTAATTCTGAGTTTGGAGGGACAAAAATACAATTGAGATTACAGAGTCAGAAAAGCCTATCTGAAGAAATTATATTCAGAAAGATACTATGAGGGGCTGGAGACATAGCTCAGCAGTTAAGGGCACTGACTGCTCTCTCCAGAGGACCCAGGTTCAAATCCCAGAACCCACATGGCAGCTCGCAACTATCTGTAATTCCAAGATCTGACACTCTTGCATGGACATATATGCAGGCAAAACACCAATGCATGTAAAATAAATGTAAATAATTTAAAAAGTAAATGAATAAGTAAAAATTAAATTTAAACAAAGAACGATACTATTAGGATGAGTAGGAGAGTGTCGGCAGAAAGGAGAATGTGTGACTGTCCTACATTTAAGGAAGATGTATTTATGTGTGGGTGTTTTGCCTGTGTGTGAGTATGTGTACAACAGAAGCCAGAAGAGGGCACTGTGTCCTCTGAGACGAGTTCCCAGTGGTTGCGGGCTGTCTTGTGAGTGCTGAGAACTGAACCTGGGTTGTTGCAAGAGCGTCAAGTGCTCTCAACTGCTGCGCAATCTTTCAAGCCCCCAGGCTTTTTAATTGTTTTATTTTATTTTTAAAGCAGTCTTCCAGTGAGCTTCTCTGGCCCAGTGTAGGTTAGGGTCAACCAATGACTGGCAAAAGTTGTGCGTGAGCATGTCACACATGAAGACTCATGTGTGCTGGGACGCTTGCCTCCTCTTCAGCCAGAAGAACTAGTAAGTTTGGCTATCTATGAGTCTCTCTAGATTGCCAGATATACATGGGTACTTTAAAACTTCTCCATAGTTGTCTTCTTTCCCAGAGGCCCTTTTCAGATTTCAAGTTGGCTTTTTGCTTCTCACAGTCAACTATAATAGAGCCATTATCAGATCAGGTAGAGAATGAGGGAAATAGGAAAAACCACAGGTACAGTGATTCTTTGAGCATGACTATACAACTCATTGCATAATTTTAGTGACTATTAAAGTTCTAAAATAATTGCTTTTGATAGTTTTTGTTGGTGTTTCTATTGCTCTTGGGCGGTGGGGTGAACTAGCCAAGCTCCTCATCCTGCCATTCTGGAAGTCTGGTTGATTTATATTTACATATTTGGCTAGTGCTAAAACTCAGTATTAGAGCCCTGCCTAGCATATGTGCAGCCCTGAGTTCAAGCCTAGAATCTTAAAAATGAACTTTGCGTTTATTCGTCACTGAAAAATTCTTATCAGAACTCTGCAGGCATTAACAAAGATTCCTGTTCCTTTTCTCCACAAACCTATAGATGTTGATCTTCAGGTGGTGGAATAAGTCCACATCATGAAGATTCATTGCTGTTACTGTGGCCTCCTAGGCAGGGTCTGTGGTAAAAGTGAGGGAGAATATTGACTCTATAGCAGAAAGCTAGGAGAATGTTTCACACTTGCCATCTATTGTCCAGTGCCCATTGTGGATCTCATGTTTCACTAACATTCCTGGCCCAGGTCACTTTGAGAACTATGTATGAACAGGATTTCCTCTTACTTAAAACAAAGCCAAAACTGAGAGACAGATAATTAGATTTTCTGGATTGTTACAATTGTTTTGTTAGGGTTTGTGAGCTTGCTTGTCACAAGAGCAGTTAGGTCTTAAGTGAAGCCCTGACAGAGGATCTGAATATATAGGTTTATGTTTTCTGTGTGCATACACATATGCTAGTATTAACTTTGTCATTAATCCATAGCTTCGGTAGCTGGCACTATGTCTAACTGTTACTGTCTTCTCCTTCACTATTCTACCAATGTAAGGATTGCCCAAACTGTGTTCATTAAATAATCAGGTCTTCAATAATGAGTTTGATTTTTGTCCAAAATCTGTGCCCTATCTTCACCTCCATGCTCCCCTCTTTGTCCTAGCTTTGACTCAGTCTCTAGTACAGGGCCTGCTGTAGGTCTGTACCCACTCGTTTGACCCCACATGATCGTCTTGTCTCTGCTGCACTTTGGATCTGTGCTCTGAGTTGTGAATGTTTCTTCCCCCAGGCATTGATGACAGGAAGTGTCCCTGGCTTTGTTGACGTCATCAGGAACCTCAATTCTCCTGTGCTCCTAGAGGACAATGTGCTAAGACAGGCAAAAGCTGCTGGGAAAAGAATAATCTTTTATGGAGATGAAACATGGGTTAAATTATTCCCAAAGCATTTTGTGGAATATGATGGGACAACGTCATTCTTTGTGTCAGATTATACAGAGGTCAGTCTCTCTCTTTTCTCCATACCAGGTGTCATGTAGCCAAGGTAAGGGTGGAACTCCATATGTAGCAGAGGCCATTCTTGAACTCTTTACACTCACACCTCCACCTCCAGAGTGCTGGGATTACAGCCATGTGCTACCATGCCTCATTTCAGAGATCATTTTTTTTTCAAGACAGGGTTTCTCTGTGTAGCCTTGGCTGTCCTGGACTTGTTTTGTAGACCAGGCTGGCCTTGAACTCACAGAGATCCACCTGCCTCTGCCTCCCCAAGTGCTGGGATTACAGGTGTGTGCCACTGATCCTGGGCAGAGGTCAAATTCTTAAAAAGGGAAGAATTGTTCCATAGCTAGAGTCTGATACTACTATTTTTGCTTTAGAGGTGATGCTATTTCTTGTGTAGTATTTCTTAATTTATAGAGTGGTTTGACAAGATTATAAAAATCATTCATTCACACAATCAGTTGTAAGTGGTAGCATAATCCTGGTACAGGTATGAGCCAAGGTATGTAGGCCCAAAATGCAAATAGTTTTACAGACATTGAGGACACAGAAGATGAGGAGGCGTGCACAGCAGGGGAGCTATATCATTGAAGGAGTGAGCAAAAAGGAAAGCAGCAGAGCTAGAGTCCAGAGCCTACCTGCGATTCTCTAACTGTTGGAATCTACAGGGATTAGAACCCTCACTATGAAGGCTTGCAGTGAGTTCTGTAGAATCTTATCCTAAGAGGTATGTGCCTGTGCTGGAGTATAGGCTTCTGTAAGAGAAAGCTTGGGATTAGAACCAGGTATGTTAAGGTTGGGACTGAAGCAAAAGAGATAATACACACATGTTATCTGGATAGCACTAGAGGCCAGTCTTTGAGTGTATGTAGTCTCACTGATACCTTTTCTAGAGTGATACCCTTTCCACAATTTACCAGGGCAGGTACAGTGTAAATTTTCAATAGTGACAAAGTTTTCAAGATTATGTATGACATGAGGTAGAAACACTTTTCTTTGTGGTATGTGTTTTAGTGGGAGGAAGGTTGGTTCACTGAAGACTCAAGGCTAAGCAGGCTGCTGGCCCAGGCAGGCTCTGTTTACTTGCTCCCATCTCCATGATGTTTGCTTCGGAAATGGGAGAGATTATAAATGTTGTTCTATTCCTTCCAAGAATAACCTTTATGTAGGACTGTACTTATTCCTAAGTGTACTGTGCTGTCTTGGTTGGCTGCCCCTTCACCCTTTATTATCCCATGTCTTCTTGGGGCCTTTTTTAGCTTGCTTATTATTCAGCTTTAGTTCAGACCAACAGTGATCCCGTGGGGTGGGGATAAATGCCAGAATAGCCTTTGCTAATTTAAATTATCTGTATAATACGTTGGTTCACAAACTAGAGACACTAAAAAGAATAGGAATAAGAGCTTAGTCTACTACATTTTTTAATGTCTTTAGGGGTTTTGTTTGATTTTGGTTTTTGTTTTTTCGATTTCCATGAGTTACCTAAGATTAACTCCTGATGATCCAGGAAAAATTGGATGCACTGTTTATATGTACTTCTCCCCCTCCCCTTTGAAGGTGGATAATAATGTCACAAGACATTTGGATAAAGTGTTAAAAAGAGGAGACTGGGATGTGTTAATCCTTCACTATCTAGGACTGGATCATATTGGCCACATTTCAGGGCCCAACAGCCCCCTGATTGGTCATAAACTCAACGAAATGGACAGTGTCCTGATGAAGATTCACACTTCTCTGTTGTCGAAGGTAAGACTTACTGTGATGCATTGCATCGAATTTTGTATTGCCAATATTTCCTAAAGTGAATGAAAATGACTGAGAGGGCACTATGCCCCATTGTCTGCCAGCCAGTGATGCTTCTGCCATAGGGACCCTCTAGATTGCTGTTGTAAGGATTCTACTATTTGTAGAAAGAAAAGGAAAGAAACATGAGTAGTAAACTATACAAGTGTGTCAAAGGAAAACTCAGGCAGGAGGGACCAGTGTCCCTGTACTAATGAGAGGCTGTACTTTTAAATGGTGTGTTCAGGACAGTCCTAGAAGAATGTTCCATTTGAGCAGAGACTTGAAGGGAGAGAGGGACAGGTACATGCTATCTGTGTGGCTGTATGTCAGGTAGAGGAAGCCTGCACAGTAGCTCTGGAGCAGACAAAACGAAATGGCTGGAGCTCTGGGCAGAGAAGCCCCGTGACCTGCCTCGTACTTCCCTGGATGCTATGCGCTTTACCCTTAAACAGTCCTGTAAAAGAAACACATTAGTTTCTTTCTTGACAGGAGACTGAGGCAGAAGGAGTCATGTGCCCACAGTTTGGAAATGACAAATACCTTGGTGTCAGAGGTCATAAACACAACCCTTATGTACTCTGTGAGCTATGCACTGTTCTTGATTCACTTGTGGTATGATTTGGCTCTACCCTTTTATATGAGTAAGCTCATTGGAAGAGATTTACTGGTTTTTGTTTTTGTTTTTCCAAGACTTGGTTTCTCTGTGGAGCCTTGGCTGTCCTGGACTCACTTTGTAGACCAGGCTAGCCTCGAACTCACAGAGATCCACCTGCTTCTTTCTGCCTCCTGAGTGCTGGGATCACAGGTGTGCACCACCGCGCCTGGCTGAGCCTTAATGCTCTAAGGTGGACGAAAGTGAAGTTCTACAGTTGTTTCCTTGGCAAGACCATAATATGTTTTTGCAAGACAAGTACAGATGACAGGGTCTCCTTTGCCTTACAGGAGAGAGAGAGTCTTTTACCCAGTTTGCTGGTTCTCTGTGGTGACCATGGAATGTCTGAGACAGGGAGCCATGGGGCCTCCTCCACAGAGGAAGTAAGCACACCTCTGATCTTAATCAGCTCTGCATTTGAAAGGAAACCTGGTGAGAACTAAGAATGATTACCGTTTAAAACTATGGTCTGGCCTAAGTTATCCCAAACAATGTGAAATAAAGATTAAAGGGGTAATAGGCAATCAGGATTTACAGTTTAGAGTCTTTGCCCTGATTCTCAAAATATAAATACTCTTTTTGGTAAGAATTCTATTGTAGAAATATTACTATCTAGGTATGGAACTATTCAAATTTTGCCTTAGGCTGGCGAGATGGCTCAGTGGGTGGGGCACTTTTGGCCAAACATGACTAGTTGAGTTCCATTTCTGGAACCCCCAGTGGAGGGAGAAAGATCACTCACAGGTTGTCTTCTGCCCTGGCACGCATGTGTCCATTGTGTACACAGATATACACAGCCCTGGCTGACCTGGAACTCACTCACTCCACAGACCAGGCTGGCCTCAAACTCACAGATCTGCCTGCCTCTGCCTCTTGAGTGCTGGGATTAAAGGTGTGTGCCACCACTGCCCAGCTCTTAACTTATTGCCAGCAGCTAATATTTAAATATTTTAAAAATTGCTCACTGTTTAAAACTGCATGTACAGCCAAAGTCAGGTTCGGAGAAAGCACAGTGTACCAGGTGTGGCCCTATTTCTTAGTCAAACAGAATCCCCTCTATCCTGCGCCTGACTCACCTGGGTGGCTTAGTCCCTTCACAGCTGCAAGCCTTTCTTCCTCCGCTTTTTCTTCACTGTTGTTTTACACACACACACACACACATTGTTTTACACACACACACACACACAATTGTGCATGTCCTTAAGTATAGACAGACAGCTGGTCAGTCTGTTTAGTGTTACATGTATCTATGTAATTTGAAGGCTGACTACTTGCTACTGGATAGCCAATTAGGGGCTCCATCCCTGGAGAGGACTATTTTTCCATTGTGAACATTCCTTAGTTTCCAGTAGTTCTTTGTCTGCAGAGGCTGTGAAATCTACCCCTTCCTTGCTAGCATGTCTATTGATATTTTACTTCATGGGTGAAGTCTCCATGTCCTTTCAGGAGACACAATATTATAGCAGCTTTTCTGATCCTCTGGATTGTAAAGTCTTTGTGCCTCATCTATGGAAATGTTTCCTGAGCCTTAGGTTCAGGAATTATGTTGCAGGTGTATCAGTTGTGGCTGGACACCCCATGATCACTTGTTCTCTGCATTTTGACTAGTTACGGTTTTCTGAAATAGTCTCCATCTGTTACAGAGGGAAGTTTCTTTGAGGAGTGGTGAGAGTTACTCTGATCTGTGGGTATAAGGATAAATATTTAGATGCAATTAGGAATTATACTGATTTGGTAAAGTAGAGGTATTAAGTTCTCTAAAATCCACGGCCCCGCTAGTTCTGAGAATTTGTTGGCTTTGTACTACCAAGCTTGATTTCCATGCTGTTGATTGGGCCTTCAGTGTAATTCAAAAGTTGTTGGTTACCACCAGGATATGAAGCTGCTATTGTGTCCTTCGAGTTCTCCTGCTGTGCGGTTTGCCACAGTAGTTCATAGGAGTGCAGCTGGGCAAGACCACTGGTTGCCTCCTTTCTGGTACCCTGTGTGCGCCTGCCTTTTTTGCTGTCCCCAAGCCCGGAAGCCCCACTCCTGCACCTGATTGTTTCTTTGTTTCTGAGGCAAAACAGATGAGCGATGGTCTGTTTCTACCTGGGAGAGGGCAGGCTCTCACTTCATTGTACATGGGCTGAGTGATGGGGCTACATTCCTGGCTGACCCCTGTGGAGTTGCTGTCTCTTGGAGCTTGGGGGTGGGTTGGAGAAAGGGGGTTATCATTCATGTGCCACAGACTCTTAAAGTTCTTACAAAAGTTCAGTAGGTTTTCATGCTGAATGTTTCTTCATTTGATAAATAAACTTAGATAATTCTAGACTGTAAATGGTGGCTGTTGTTTTTTATGAAGTTTGGATTATCTGCCATGTGATTTCATAGACTGCCTCTCAGCCTGCTGCTGCCTGTCCTGAGTCTGCCGGCCCCAGTGGGAAGCATAGGTATGGTCACTCCAGGGGAAAGGGAAGAATAATGTCCTCCTCCTGGACCTTCGTAAGGGCAGAGCAGGTATGTTGGTCAGCTGACTCACCAACTAGGAAGGACTTGGCCTGTTTCATAAACTTGCTGTTTTATCTTTCAGACCTAAAATGGTGCCTGACACTTTTTTCATTAGTATTTGTTTATTAAAAGTTTAAAAGATGGGTGAAGTAGGGGTATTGTGGGCCTGATGGAAATGTATAAAAGTCGTGGAAAAACTGAGAATAGTTCTGAAATGCCTGTAGATAAAGACCTTTGTCTCTTATGTTCACATTACAAAATTATAGTTATTAAAACAGTTTGTGCTGGCAAAACTTGTCAGGCCCATCAATGAATAAAATAAAGAAGTTAAAAATAGATTCCAGCATAAAAGATTTGTTAGTAATAGTGGCGTCTCACCTTAATGAAACAAAGACAGGGCACTCAGTGCATGATGTTACTGTTGTTAGTAGCCCAGGTAGCCTTCTGGTAAGCAATGATGCTGGTTACCCATCTCACTTTCTAAACTAATAGAGATCCCAGACCCAAACATTCTAACCTCTTCAACACCCCCCCCCCCCCCCACCAGGCTTTGTCTGTGTAACAAAGCCTGGCTGTCCTGGACTTACTTTGTAGACTAGGCTGTTCTCGAACTCACAGAGGTTCACCTGCCTCCTGAGTGCTGAGATTAAAGATGTGTGCCACCATGCCCAGCTCAAGGATTCTTTACTGTGAGAAATTTCGGACCTACCGAATATAGACAGTGTAAGTTCCCCCCAATTTCAGTGGTTACTCTCCAGCTCTAGCTTGTCTTAGTCCATCTGTACACACTCATGTTTCTTGTTATCTGGGTACCTCAGAACCCTGAGTAAGCATTTGCTCCACATGATCCTGGTTCTGTTACTACATTTCAGAAATGTCAGTTCCTTAATATAAAAAAAAAATGTTCAGATTTCCAATGTCTATCTTTTTATTTGTCTTAATTTGTTAGGTATAAATAAGATCCAAACATTGTGATGTACTAGTGTGTTTCTTAGGCCTCTGTTAACTTGTAGGTTCCCAACTCTTTTAATTTACTAATTGATTTACTGAAAACAAATTAAATTGCCTATGCAGTCCTCTGTGATCTGGATCCTGCCCCAAGTCTCCTCTGTAATGTACCTGACATGTATCCTCTCTGTTCCTGCCTCAGCCTGCTGGTATTGCCAGGTGGTCTGTATTATATGGTGAGGCTTTTCTGTTATCCTGTGAATCTCCTCTTACCCAAATATTCAAGCAGACTCAAAGCACGAAGTTCAGCCTGGTCTAGTTTGGGTTGCTCTGGTTTAGTTTGGTCTGTGTGTGGCTGTTGCTAGCAGGAAGACATTGTTCAGCTGTACTGGTTATTTTTGCATTGCCGTGCTCAAACACATTATAGCTTCAGAGCATCCAGCCCATTGTTGCTTGGTTCTAAGCACTTGTGGAAGACATTGTGGTAGCAGGGATATATGGTGGAAGATAGCTTTTGATGTCACAGCAGACAGGAAGCAGAGTCTAATAGAACCCAGCCCGGGATAGCATACACCCAAGGACCCCATGACCTACTTCGTTCACCTAGGCCCCACATCCTAAAGTTCCCACAATTTCTCCAAATAGTGCTGCCTGCTGAGTACCAAGGGTGCAAATTCATGAGCCTTTCAGCAGGACTTTTTTTTTTTTTAATCCAAACCATAACACTGGACTTCATTGTGATGTTAGTCGTCACCAGCTAGGAGTTTGCAAAGAGTTGTGTTTATTTCCATAATTTTTAAACATTACTTAGCTATTACTTTAGTCTACTTGTGCTATTATAACAAAATCCTGGAGACTTGATAATTTATAAAGAAAAGGAATTGATCTCCTGCTATCTGCCGCCTGGGAAGTCTAAGTATCAGGATCTGGTGAGGGTTGTCCCTTCTTCCAAGGTAATGCCCTAATTACTGTACCCTGGAAGGAAGGAACATTGTATCCTCATGTGACAGAGGATGAAAGGGCAGGAGGATGAGACTCCTTCCAACAGGCCATTCTCTAGTGGTTCTAGGGCTCATGAGCTGATACCTGACAAAAGGCACCAACTCCCAACATCAGTACATTGGATATTAACTTTAAAAGTAGATCAACAGGAATAATTTTATAAAGAAAATGCCCCTGTATACTTTGGATTTCCCAGTGATACTATTTGTATAAGAGAGACAAAATTATTCTTCTCATGTAACACTGGTTTCAAATGAAATTAGTGACTTCAGTATTATCCTTCAACTATGGCCAATTAAACTTTTTCACTTTTTAGTAAAATTGTGAATTCATACTTTTAAGCCTATTGAATAGTTTCTATTCTTTATAGCTACTAATCTTTTTTTTTTTTTCATATGTTTGGCTAATGGGAGCATCTTCATATTAATTCTCAAGCCCTTTAGGCAAGACCCCAATGGTCTCCGATTCCTCTCTTGCCCTCTGAGCAGTGTTTCCAGCTGCCATGTCTGTGTCTTTCTCAGGGCTCAGTCGGCTTCTCCAGGTGCCCTGATCCTTCAGGTAGAATGTCCCATCTCAGAGCAAGAAGTGTGGACTTATGCTGGGTTCCAATTAGGTTTCTGGACAGAACAAGGAAATCTTTTAAAATAAGGTAATCTTGAGTTTGCATTGCTACTTCCAGCTCTCATTCAGAACTATGGAAACACTTCCTTAAATCTGGCATCTGCCTTCTTCCGTCTGAGCTTAAAATCCTGGTTAGAGTTAGCATTTGGTAGAGGCAGAGCATCACATGGAATACACATATGTTATCCCACAGTGGACACACTCAGTCTTAGAAGAGTATCTGACGGCATCAAAGTACATTTGTGCTGTTTGCTTTGTGTTATGTTTGCTTTTCAGCTCAAAACAATGTAAGAAAATAGTAGCCTTAAGTACTGGAAGATAATAAGCAACAATGTTGAAGTAGCGAGTTTGTCCAGAAAGTAAATATGACCAAATGAAATGTCTGTACAACCAAAAATTACTGCAATTAAAGTAATGCAATTAATGCAATTAAAGATACACGCTCACACTTGTGTATCTAAGAAGCTTTGAGCAGAGCCATCTGGAAGGACTTCCTGGAGACCCAGTAAGCTCCGTAAACCTGTTCTGATGCTTCTGGGGTGGAGTGGGGTGGGGTGGGGTCATATTCTTTACAGAGGAGAAAGCTCTGCCAGGTTACTTTTCATCCTAGGTTGTTTTGTATACCAGGGCCCTGAACCCAGCACCTGAACGCCACAGCCTTTCTTCTTCTAAGGAGCTGGTAGGGCAGACAGCTACTGCAAGCTTGGAGACATTATCTGGATAAGCAGAATCTTAGGTGTCCTGGTCACTGGTCATGCCTGCCCAGCTGAACCCAGCCTTGTCCTTAGAGAATATCCTGCTAATCCTAACTCTTGTTGACTTGGCAGCTCCCAAGTGACCATCTCTTGGCCTCTCTGTGGCTATTTGTCACTTCCACGCCCAATGCTACAATCACAATAGCTGTATTTTTTGAATTAGACTCTCTGTCCAGTATATTATAAGCCACTTAAGGGAAGGTGGCACTTGGTAAGTTTATTGACATAAAAATCAAGGAGGTGGTTTCTGTGTGAATCTACTTTGAGTGGCTTGAAGACATGGTTATTTGACTTATATTAGTTGTAGTTGATCAAAATCAAGAATAACTTCTGTGTTCTTCCTTGTAAAAATCTATTGCTTAAAATGTTTTTTGTTTTTGTCTCTGGTTTTTGGTTTTTTCTCTAGGGGATATTCGACATCCAAAGCACGTGCAGCAGACTGACTTGGCTGCGACACTCGCAATAGGACTTGGTTTGCCGATTCCTAAAGACAGTGTAGGCAGCCTCTTACTCCCAGTTATAGAAGGAAAACCGATGAGAGAACAACTGAGGTTTTTGCATTTAAACACATTACAGCTTAGCAAACTATTGCAAGAGAATGTACCAGCATATGAAAAAGGTAAGGGATTGCTATTTCCAGCTTCTCTAAGGTCTTTGTGGGTTTTCCAGTCAGTAATTTGTAATGGAACACTTTGTAGTTGTTACTCTAATTATGAATGTTATGTTCCAGTTTTCTTAGACCCTTAATTGTCATTATTAACAACACCCATGAATATAATTAAGCTATTTGAAATCTTCCATACATTTATTCATTCAACAAATATTTACCAAGTTTTTGTTTATGAACAAGGGACACTGGCCAGTTGTGGTGGTGCACGCCTTTAATCCCAGCACTCCAGAGGCAAGCAGATCTCTATGGATTCAGGGCCAGCCTGCTCTACAGATCTGGTCTACCAAGTTCGAGGACAACCAGGACTGTTAGAGAAGCCTCATCTTAAAACCCAAACACACACACACACACAAACCAAACAACCAAAAAAACCCTGGAGATAAAGCATTGGCTGGTACCAGATCTGTATCCTCACAGAATCTTTCAGGGTAAAGAGAATAAAAGTATTGTGGTAGATGGCTGATGGTAACCAGAACCCTAAGAAAAGATTGACACAGAAGCATAGATGGGTTGTTATCCTAAGATAAGCCTAGCCTTAGAGTTAGGAGCGAGCTTTGAGGGTTGGAGGGTATAGGAGATGAGTTTAGACATGCCATCAGAGGTGAGGGCAAGAGAGGAGCAGAAAGGTGGCCTGTGGGTAAGCAGATGATTTTGTCTTATCTGAAGATAGTGGGGCTCTTTCTAAGCCAGAAGGAATGATAGGAGGCGTCTCGGTGAGACCTGCATGCGCCACTTGAGTCACATTGCAGCTGATTTGCTGTGCTGTGTCCAGTCTGTCACAGACTGACACATCTGTCACTGGCACGCCCTCACAGGTCTAGAGGAGGCACTTTGTGTTTGGGGCAATATTTGGCTTGACACTGGCAAGTTTTCTTTAAGTTGTGATTTGTAGGTAATAGAGCGAGCACCATGAGTGTTAGCTGTGAAGACTAGACCCTGCCTTCCAGCTGGAAAACCACTGGGAGCCATATGCAATGGGGGCAGGACACTTCCTGAGCAGGAGCTCCTTCTAGGAGCTCAGGTGAGGGTTTTGTTAGAGCTGAGGCCTGGCTTCAGCACACACTTCAGGTTAGTCTAGATTATATGTAGTAGTTATTCTTGCTTTTTTTTTTTTCTTTTCTAAAATAACTTATAGGCCTATAAAGATTTTTGAGGGGTGGGGAGGTGTTAGTTGATTTAGTTTGGATTTTTTGTTGTTTTAAGTGTGGTGGTGTTTATTTTAGTGTGTATGTGTGGTGGGGGTTTTCAGTGGTTTCTTTGTTCATTTAGTTGGTTTATTTTTATTTTCTTGGTATGGTGGTATTGGTTTTGTAGTGCTGGGAATTGAACCTTATGCCTTGCACATGCTAGGCAAGTACTTTATCACTAAACTATATCTCCAGGCCTCTTTTAATTTTATTTTGAAACAGTCTCATTGTTATAGACTGGTTCTTAAATTCTGTAGCCCAGGTTGGCCTTAAATTTGTGATCCTCCTGACTCAGCCTCTTGAATAGCCACTAGGCAGCCATTGGGTGGAAGTTTTTGTATATGTTGTTGCTATCAAAATTCTAGTCTAGCAAAATTGCCAACAAAAAACAGCTGCTAAGGATTATTTGCTGTTTCAGAAATGTTAAGGTAGAAAAAAATTAGGAACAATGTTAAATGGAAAGGAAAGAAGCCGACAGGCATTAGAAGACATTCTTGGCGCCCTTCACTTCTAGGAGGCCTGCTGTGCCTGCACCATCAGCACAACAAGGCCAACACGATCCTCCCACATCTAGTCAAATCTGATGCTTCTTGCCCTCTGTCTTTTAGTTCTGAAGAGAACTGCTTTTTGCTTTTTTTTTTTTTTTTTTTTTTTTTGGCGTCAGGAACTTTGAACAAGATGTTCACAGTGACTGAATGTTCTTCCCCAGTTTCTCATCTGGTTGATTCCTTATCAGATTGTCTCTGCCCTGCTATATTCCCTGTTATATTCTAATCTAAAATCAGTTATTCCGTACTACCAGAACTCGCTCCTTCTGTCATCTGCTTTTCCTTGAGAGCATCCCTTGTGATTAGGTTTTTCTTTTTATGTGTGTATGTGCTTCGCCTGCGTCTATATTCATGCACCATGTGCATGCAGTGCAGAGGCCAAAAGAAAAAGGATGGTGAATGCCCCGGCACTGGAGTTCTGTATGGCTGTGAGCCATGCTGTGGGGCCTGGGAGTCAAAGCTGGACCCTCTGAAAGCAGCAGAGCTCTCCACCACTGAGCCGTCTCTCCAGCCTCCGTCCTTCAGTTTGCCACCACATGTGGCCATGCCTCAACATAGTATTTGTTGGCATTTGTTTGTATCTGTGAACATTTCTGAATCCAAGTATAAGCAGGTAGAAATGTACCTGTTTATTCACCATTGTGTTTCTCTCTCCTTCCTTCTCTCCTTCCTTCCTTCTTTCAATTTAAAGTCTATTGTGTTTACTATTCAGTATTCAGTGTCTAGGACACAGTCAGTGCTTAGGAAGTGTTCATCTGGCTGCGTACACAGGAGCCCCAGGTCTCTATGACTCATTTATAGAGGCTGTAAGATGTAATACAAATACCGTGTGTCTCTGTGGTTCGGTTGTAGGGATGTATAAAGCTGTTGAGTATACACACAGACCAGATCTTTGTACATAAGTGGGTGCATATGGTGGCTGTGGGTTGTGACGCAGGTGCCCTGCATCTCTGTGACTCTCTTATGGAGGCTATAGGAAGCCACTAGGCAGTAGGTCGCTTGCAGAGGGTGTGAGGCGTAGGTGTAGGTGACTCCCTGAAAGAGAGCCTAAGGGTTCTGAATAAAGATCACTGTGGAGGCAGGTATAGCCATAGAGAGCCCTACTTTGGTGTGGCAGTAAGGGCACCAGCCGTGGACTTACTGTCAGAGTTTAGAATAGTGCTTTCTGTCGCCCACTCTTTGATCTGAGCAAATGCCGTAATTCTATTGTATTCCTCTTCTAGAGGGCAGGCATAACTGTCTCATCCCTCCCTCGTGGGTCACTGCAGAAGTGACTGAGCTGCTTAGGATGAGGTTGGCTATTTTTTCTTGGTGCAAGCTATGATGACCAGCAGTAAGAAGAGATACAGCCGGAAATGCTGAGATTCAGATCAAGATTGTGCCACTGAACCCTTGTCTTCAGCAGTAGCATGCCTGCAGAGGCTGCTGTGACGACAAAGCATGAGTTGTATTCACAGAGTGTTGTGCTGTTGGGTGGTTAGGAATCTGTGGTGCGCGTGGAGTGTGAGGTGCATTGTTTAAAAAACAGAGCATCTTAGGAAGAAAAGTCTTATTTTTAGACCCATTTAGTCAGAAGCAGACACAACATAGGAAAAAATAACAGACCTCTGGAAAGCGGATGCCAGCTCCTTGCCTTCAGCAGTGCACCAGGTAGAGCCAAAGGAAAAGGGCAGCCATGAAGCTGGACCAAACCCAGAAGTCAGGCATTCCACTCCATTCCAATGGCATCACTGGCCATTGTAAACAATGCTCTGCCTTTGCAAGGAAGGACTGTAAAGAAGGGTGGTTAAGAGAGGAGGCTAGTGTGAGGGCACAAGAGCGAGCTTGTGCGGTGGATGGGCAGGGTAACTCACATGCTGTGGAGAAGCCAGGGCCTGTAGATGCAGTGCATTGCAGGATTGATTTTATATTTCACAAGGAGAAAGAGTGGAAAGAGACAAAAAGAAGAGAAAGATAAGATCACATGAGAGAGGTAGAAAAATGTAAAAGTACCTTTTATTCTCCAGATGTAAGTGTTGTCTTGGAGGCTTACTGCCTCTGTCTGCTAACCTAGGCATAGTGCTGAAAGCTTCTGCCTCCACACAATCTAATCTAGGCCCAGAATGTTTTCAGCCTCTGAGTCTTACTGCTGAATAAGCTCACCCTTTCTAGTTCTTTCTGAACTCTGCCTGGCTGGCTCAACTCAAAACTCTAAGCTGTTCTGGCTCAAAGCTCCTCTCCCAGCTGACTGATTCAATCTGTCTTCTCACAGCTTCTCACTGAATTGCTCTGCTTGGCCTCACACTAACTCTAGCAATCTATTCTAATCTTCTGGCTTCTTATTCTATGGCTTGCTCTGTCTTCCCCTGTGTCTAGCTTGTTCTCTCTTCAATCTATCTCTGTAAAACCCCAGTAAAACTGCTTCTAAATTCCATGAACTGAACTGCCACAAGCTCAGCTCCACTGTACTGCCTCTAAACTCACTGACTCAACTGAACTGACTAAACAGAACTCAGAGATCTGCCTGTCTCTCTCTTCTGAGTGCTGGATTAAAGATGTGTACCACCGTGCCTGGACCTAAGTTTCTTTACCTGAAACTTGCTCTATACCAGGCTGACCTTGAACTCAGAGATCTGCTTGCCTCTGTCTTCTGGGATTAAAGGCATGTCTGTATTCCAGCCAGAATAGTTGTGTTGCTGGATTAAAATTTCTCTACAGAAAAACTGTCTGAGCAGCAGTGGGTGTTTATTTCCGCCTGTGCTGTGTGTACTGAGTACCGGGTTCTAGGTGTGTTGACAGTAGGTGGGTATATATCATCAGCTGTCACAGCATTACTGAGTCGTTGCTGACTCTTCCTGCCTAGGAACGATTACCTTCATTAGGTATCAGTTCCTAAAAATGTGCCAGGAATAAGTGAATGTGCTAAAGTTATAAATATGTATAATCTTTTTGTCTGATAGATCCTGGATTTGAGCAATTTAAAATGGCAGAAAGGTTGCATGGGAACTGGGTCAAACTGCATTTGGAAGAGAACCATTCAGACATTCTGCTTGGCCTGGGAACCAAAGTGCTCAGGCAGTACCTGGGCGCCCTGAAGACCCTGAGTCTGTCTCTGAGCACACAAGTGGCCCACTACGACATGTACTCCATGGTGGTAGGGACTGTCGTGGTTCTGGAGGTACAAATGCTTAAATTGGTTTTGCAACTCAGCCAAAACATGATGCTTTTAAGTTTATGTATCATTGCTGCTGGGCCTGGTGGTATATGTAATTCCCAAAATCAGGCTACTAAGACAGGAGGATGGCTAATTCATGCCAGCCTGGGCTACATCGAGACTCTGTCTAAGAAGAAGAACATTGGTATAAAACAGAAAATAGGCATGTTCTTTAGTTCTTCCATTGTACATCCAGATTTAAGAGGGTACGAGGAGTATTTGCATGTGTCAGATGGCTTCATTCAGCCTTGCTATGAAAGATAAAAATATAAGTCAAGCTATACAGTTTTGGCAAGCAACAAAAGGTCTTTTTGTTGAGTTGTTTGTGTATGAGCAATAGGTTAAGACAAGTTGGTCTCATTTTGAGTGGACTTCCCTATGCCGGGCCTTTCAGACACCCTGGGTCCTCTCTTTCAGGTTCTCACCCTCTTCCTCCTGAGCACACCACATGTGCTGTGCAGAAAAGCTGAGCTGGATGTTCCTCTGTTGTCTCCTGTGTTTTCTCTGCTCTTTTATTTGATATTCTTGGTTCTTTCGGCCATTCATGTGCTGGTGTGCACCTCGTCTGAGAGCTCGTGCTACCTCTGCGGCCTCCCCTGGCTGGCAGCAGCGAGCGTGATGCTCCTCATTTCTGCGCTGCTCTGTGCAATTTTGTCTGCTCTTATCAGGATGGTCATTGACAGCACACTGCTGACGAAGGTATGGCTGCTTCCTTGGTATATAATGTAGTCCTTGTGGGTGGGCTTTAGTTTTATTTTGCCAGCCAATCTTTTATTAATAAGAAATTGGTTGAAATCTTGTGTGTACCAGCGTTGTAGTGCTGAAGGCGCCCTGGAAAGACCACACACCAAGTAGACTGCAGGAGAAAGCCCTAAGCAGGCCCTTCCCGGGCTTCTGGGCATCTTTGTCTGTGATGTTCTGGTGTGCAGTCAGGTCACAGTGTTTAACTTCAGCTGAAAAGAGCTGGATGGGGCAGAGGTGAGAATAGGGCTCTGGATGTAGAAGACAGGGAACGTGCAGACTGAGTCGTAGAAAGAGTCTCTGCGCTGCAGCTGATGGACCCTGAACTCAGGAGCTCGCCAAGGAAGCTTGAGCCCTGTTGGTCTGTTCTGCCTCATAAAGCTTTCTCCTCAAGGCTTACATTTTTCTGTGAAATTGTTAGTCTCTGGCAGCCTTTGTTCATTAGGTAGGTGATGGCAGTGGCACAGTGTGATGGGACAGTGTAAAAGAGATGTTTGGTTGCAGTGGAGTCCACAGTATCCAGAGCCTGGGGTTTAGAAACCCCGTGTGGTCACTCCAGCTGCCCCCAGTATACTCTGTCCTCCTGTCCCCTTTCCTCTCACAGGCCTTTAGAGATCCCCTGTCATGTGTCTCTGTCTATGTTTGTCTCCTTAGGGTCTTTCTGGGTTCATGGTCTTTCTCTAGGTGTCTTGTTATACATAGTTAACAGTTACCAGAACAGTAAGTGACAAAAACTTTTTTATATTGAGCTGATGTGTATGTGTGTGCATGCATGTGTGTGTGTGTGTGAGATGGTGGTGGTACACATGTGGCGGTCAAAGGACAACTTGTGAGAGTCAGTTCTCTCCTTCCACCTTGTGGTCCTGAGAATAGGACTCAGGCCATCAAGTTTGGTAGCAAGTGCCTATGCCTGCCAAGCCATCTCATTAGCGCTTGGGCTGTTTCTAAGTTTGTGTTGGTCAGTCTTTCATCACCATGACAAAATGCCTGGTATCAGCAATGTAAGGAAGAAAGATTTACCTTAGCTTCAAAATGACAGTTTCAAAAATGTCAGTCCATGTCTGGGGCTCCATGATTGCCTGTGTGGAGGCGTAGCTGAAAAGAGCGGCATCTTCATGGCAGCTAAGGAGCAGTGAGAGGAAAGGAAGGAGATGGAAGAGTTGTTCCTGCTTATTCTAATCACCGTTCAGTGGGGGGGGGGGGGGGGAAGCTCATTACATAAGAATTTCCCTCTTTGGTGAGGGAAGTATTTCATATCTAAACATAACATAACTTAAGAGATGTTCTGTTGCCATCTTTTTGTAGTGGAAACTATGTAGTCCTAGGGAAATTGCTATCATACATGGAACATGATGGCTGGGCAATTCTTGGGTTCCATCACTGCATTGAGGATCTGCTTTCAGTCTCTGACACTGAGCTTGGGGCTTAACAGTCCTGGGTGAGGACAGCTAACTGACATGCTAAGCCCATGTCCTGGTTAGCGTAAGAACATCTTGACTTCCTTTAGGCTGTGCTGCAAGAAGAGAGGCCATGCCTCCAGTACATTGGGTTTCCTCCCCAGTGGGCAGTTTGAGTTAGGTGGGAAGACAGCAAGTGTCTATTGTGAGGCCTTTTCACTCTGAGCAAGGGATGTTAGTACATGCAGGTGAAATACATACATGTTCAGGTTATCCCTAACATACTGCATTTCCTTCTAACAGAATGCAGCTCTTCCCAGCTCAGGGTGGTCAGAGGTGAACCTTCTCCTCCTTCTGGGCACAGTGGGCCATGTTCTGAGCCTGGGAGCCAGCAGCTTTGTGGAGGAAGAGCACCAAACGTGGTATTTCCTTGTTAATACTCTGTGCCTGGCTCTGATCCAGGAAAGCTGTAGGAGTTGCCTTCTGGGAGATGAATATGAACCTCACCGTCACTTCCAGGTGGAACAAGGATGTGTGGACATCCTTGCCTGCTCTCTGCAGGACAGCACAAGCTGCAGCACCCCTAACCCTGACAGAGCAGGTAAACGGGTCTCCCTTTCTGAAGCACAAGGAAGCTGCAGATGGTGGACAGTGCTGGCAAGTCCGTGGCTGGTGCTGATCTGCTGCCGGCTACTGCGGTCCTTGAACCAGACAGGGGTGCAGGGAGCCCATCGGCCTGATATTAGCCACTGGCTTACCAGGTGAGCACGACCCCTGGGGTGAAGCCCTTTGCACCCGAATAGTAGTACAGTCTTCTTTTACATCCTGTCCTTTTAAAGATATCTATTAAGACTAAGCTAATACTTGAGATCTAAGGGAAGAGAAAATGTACCCCATAAAGGGGAGTAGAGACTAGCTTAGTAGATTCAGTTTATGAATGCTGAATCAGAGTAACTGTTAATGATTGAGAACCTGTGAGTTTTAAAGTGATCATTTTGCTAGATGCAGTTCTGGGAGCCACTCCAAGGTGGTTCATTCTGCACTACTGCTCATGGACAGGAAGACAAAGGCAATAGGCAGAAGGTTCTGGTCTCTGCGGCACCTTTGCCTCCGTGTCCACCCATAGAGGGCAGAGTATGTAGCAGATCTCGACATCTCCTGAGGTTGCAAAGCCAAGAAGAGACGTAGATGGTAGTAGATGGGACTTGGAAGAAGGGACTTGAATTAAGTGGAAGAAACTGAGTCTGTCAAAGTCAAGACCAGGCTTTTAATTTTTAATTATCTGACAACAAAGACTCAAGCTAAAATAAAAGAACAGCAAAATAAGAATGTCCGGAGGAACAGACGGTTGCAGAACTGTAACGCAGAGGGTCAGAAGTACTCCCGCTAGTGCTTGGGAAATGTATAGTGGAGAAACAAAACTGTACAATACTGTCCAGACCTTCCAAGTGCACAGCCAACCTGGATGTGGGCCTCAAAAAGGTTCTAGTTAATACAGTCAAAGATTGTATTAACTAGGTTATCAGACGTTCATGATCCCACAACTACAGCAGGCATCTTTGAGGTATCCGCCGTGTGCCTGTACAACAGCCCTGGAGAAACATCACTGTGTGGTCCTCGCTTTGGAGTTCAGGAAACAAAGAAGGAACAGGGCTTGGTGATAGGTCATATCGCCTTAGCCCTGGCATATGAAGTGGTTGATATGTTAGGGAGGTCCAGGTCCTAGAAGAATAGAATGGCACTTGTTATTCTCTGAAAAACTGAAGCATTTGGTATGTGTGTGTCCTGCACGCCTTCTCAAGTATACTGCCTCCTGCACCTACATGTTTGCTTCTTGAATCACTGGGCTGTTCCTGTCAGTTGTAAAGAGCCACTTTAAAGTCCGATTAGCCACCCACGCCAAAGCTGTTTTAGTTAAATACCACTGTTCTATGGTGGTATTCAGCAGTCCAGAGGATGCCTAGGATGTACAATGTAAAGCCTAGTAGAGACCTCCAGTGTGAGGCCTGTGGCTGTAAGTCATCTCTTCCCACCCTGACAGTCATGTATGTCTTTGTTCTCTCCCCCCAACCCCTGTGTATGGGGTGTGTGTGTGTGTGTGTGAGTGTATGTGTGTGAGTGTGAGTGTGTGTGTGTGTGAGTGTGAGTGTATGTGTGTGAGTGTGAGTATGTGTGCGTGTGTGAGTGTATGTGTGTGTGTGTGAGTATGTGTGTGTGTGTGTGAGTGTATGTGTGTGAGTGTGAGTATGTGTGCGTGTGTG